GTAGCCCAAAAGGGAGCAGGAGCTTCTTTGAGGTCAACAAATGCGCAAAGGGCAGCCCATTCAAGTGAGTAGACGTGCCCTATATGCAGTGAAAATTGCACTTTGAAATTTGCAATATGTGAATGAGGCCTAACTCAAGCAGCAGTGTATCATGACAGTATGATTCTTTAGGGCTCATTCACATGTGTGCTCTGGAGTGACCATCTGAGAAAATAAACGATCATGGCGAGCATGTATGTAGTGTGTGCGAACAACTGCGACCAACAGCCCATACAACCTAATGCCCAGGACCACCGCTGTTTACCTGTAAGGCTATGTTCAGGTTGCGTTTGAGCCATTTCTGCATTGCATTTTGCGTTGCGCTTTGCATTTTTGCACCTGCGTTTTTGCTGCCTTTCTGATGCATTTTGCGTTTTTTTTCCCTTTTCTTTCTTGTTGCTAGGCAGATTTATAAAGCAAACTGCATCAAAAACGCGTCAAAAATGCATTAAAAATGCAGAAAAATGCACTACATGCTTTTCTGCAGTGTTTCCATTGAAGTCTATGCAACCAAAAACGCAACTTTTTGCGTTCAAAAAAGTCCCTGACCCTTTCCAAAAAACGCACCGGATGAAAATGCGGAGATGTGAACATGTCCCATAGGAAATCATGTTAAATGGACTGCATTTCTGCAACATGCTGTGGAAACGCTTAGGTGTGAACCTAGGGTAACCTCTCATCCAACCGATTTACAAACAGGGATTCTGACCGGCCCTGGATGCAAACACAGGGACGGCATTTCTGGCTGCACACAAACTGGTCGGAGCTAATTGGGCAGTATATATGTACCCATAGCACAGAGTGCTGTTGCGTCCACTTGCGATTGAACGCAGAAACCTGTCTACCCCAGATTACCCGTCTAAATGAGCTCCAAATACTGCAGAAAATCAATCGCTCAGTGTCTGAGTTACAAATCTCTGAATTCCCCGTGACACAGACCTTTCATTGACTGAAATTCAATTTTTCCTAACAACAAAATTGCTAACGAGAGAGAATTTGTAGCTGCTATAAACTGCTGCTGCAAAATCACAAGTGTGACAATGCCCTTGCTTAGCGTTTTTTTTTTTTTTTTTTTTTTTTTTGTGACTGTTGTTTCATTTTATAGTGTTTTTAAATGTAAAGTGTATAATACCTTAGCAAAAACACTATCATCCTAATTATTTCCTGTGAAAGATGCAAATATCCCACATTGTGGCTCAAATATAAGAGCACTTTTTTAAACATTATGCATTTGTACTAGTCTTTGCAAATTGTGAAAAAACATAAATATATTCCTAGCTCAAGATAAATCCAGCTTCCAACAGCATGCTTGGCTCTGGGCTTCAGTCTGTTTTCCCTGTGCAGCCACTTTTCCTGGCCATCACTAGAGGGTGCTGTTAGGAGATGGGGCATTTACATTGACGGTAATGAGCAATTGCACTCCACAGCAGATGTGCTCAAAGTCAGGAGGCTGCCGACAGTATTGCAGGACTTTCTCTCCAGTAAAGCTCATCATATTAGAATTTTTCAGGGGCTGCTAGGACAAGTACATGTGTATAACTATTACTGAAATCTCAGGTATACCCTAAAGCTTTACTCCAACCCTTCTGCCTGACATTTTTTTGTTTGTTATCCCCATCACTAAAATCTAATATAAAATAAACACTGGACCATACATGCCAAATGGACTTAAGGTCCTTGTCCCCTCAATACAAATGGCTTTAACTCCTCTTTTTGCCCAGCCCTGGCTTAATCCCTTGCAACAGTTCCAGTCCAGGACAATTCTGACATTTCTCCTACATGAAAAATCTGCATTTTGTATGCTAGAAAGTTACTTAGAACCCCAGACATTATATTTACAGTGGGGATCGAAAGTTTGGGCACCCCAGCTAAAAATTTGTATTAATGTGCATAAAGAAGCCAAGGAAAGATGGAAAAATCTCCAAAAGGCATCAAAGGTACAGATTAGACATTCTTATAATATGTACAAAAGTTAGATTTATTTCCACTTTACACTTTCAAAATAACAGAAAACAAAAAAATGGCGTCTGCAAAAGTTTGGGCAATGCAGAATATTATAGCATGCACTGCCCCCTTTGCAAAGCTGAGACCTGCCTTTCATGGATTGTTCTCAATCATCGTCTGGGAAAACGAGGTTATGTCAATCTGCAGACTCATCTGACCTTGCCCCAACAATCAGCACCATGAGTTTTTCTAGCAGTTGTTAAAACCCCAAACTAAAATAGTTGACGCTCACAAAGCTGGAGAAGGCTATAAAAAGATAGCAGCGTGCTTTCAGATGTCAATATCCTTGTTCGGAATGTAATTAAGAAATGGCAGTCATCAGGAACAGTGGAAGTTTAAAGCAAGATCTGGAAGACCAAGAAAAATATCAGACAGAACAGCTCGCAGGATTGTGAGAAAAACAATTCAAAACCCACGTTTGACTGCACGATCTCTCCAGAAAGATCTGGCAGACACTGGAGTTTTGTGGTACACTATTCCACTATAAAGAGATACCAAAATGGTCTTCATGGAAGACATCAAAGGCCTCTTACGTCCTCACCACACCCTTCATCGTTTGAACTTTGCAAATGAACATTTATAGACAAGCTTGATGCATTTTGGAAACAAGTTCTGTGGACCTAGAATTGAACTTTTTGGCCTAAGCAAAGGTACGTTTGGAGAAGAAGGGGCCAGAATTGAATGAAAAGAACCTCTGTCCAACTGTTAAGCATGGGGTTGGATCAACATGCTTTGGGGTTGTCTGCAGCCAGTGGCACAGGGAACATCTCACGAGTAGAAGGAAAAATGGATTCAATAAAATTTCAGCAAATTTTGGATGTAACTTGATGCCATCTGTGAAAAAGCTGAAGTTAAAACTTAATGATCCTAACACACCTCAAAATCCACGGGGGGGATTACATCAAGAGGCGTAATTCTGACAGGTTTTGCCATGGCCTTCACAATCTCTGACCTCAACATAATTGAAAATCTATATAGACCTTAAAAGAGCAGTGCGTGACAGACAGCCCAGAAATCTACTGGAAGACTTTTGTAAGGAACATGGGCAAAAGATAACTATAATGAAAGACTCTTGGCTGGCTACTATAAGCGTTTACAAGCTATGATACTTGCCAAATAGTATTTTTTAAGCACTTTTGAGACGCCATTTTTTTGTTTTCTGTTATTTTGAAAAAATGGTGGAAATAAAATCTACTTTTGTTGACATATTATAAGAATGTCTAATCTGTAATTTGATGCCTTTTGGAGATTTTTCCATCTTTCCTTGGCTTCTTTATGCACATTAATTTTAGCTGGGGTGCCCAAACTTTCGATCCCCACTGTATATATTCAAACACAAATCTTTTGGAAAAAATGCGCTTTAATGAATTTTATTGTGTAAATACGTAATATAACACCTAACTGTTTGGTGAAATACAAAAGGCGATGTTGGACCAAGTAAATAGATACCAAACATGTCTAACCTTAATATTGCATACACCCATGGAACGGTGCAAAGGGGAAGCTTTAAAAGCCTTTGCAGGTTACCAGTTTAGAGTTACACAGGAGGTCAAGTGCTGGTATTTTTTGTTCTCATAAAGAAAAGAATGAAAAATCTCCTGCGCTCAAAGTACCGGATATAGCATATGTGGAAAAATGTTCATAGACCTTAGCATTCGAACCAATGAGAAAACACTGTGCAGCCCCCTAAGGGCTGGGGTAGCCTAATATGGCACTAAACAAAAAGAATAGAAAATGGGCGCACAAGCCTTGCGCATTATCTCAATCAACACTTTAATTGTAAAAAATAGTAGATGTATACTCACAAATGACAAATGTAAACAGGCATATCATGACCAACAATGATCCATGGTCTGAAAAGAGGCTTCTTATCAAGAGGAGATTGCTCCTCGAAACGCGTCAGACAAGTGTCCTTTTCACATGTAGGACTCGTGCACCTTTTCAGACCATGGATCATTGTTGGCCTGTTTACATTTGTAATTTTGTGAGTATACGTCTACTAGTTTTTTTGCGATTAACGTTTTTATTGAGATAATGCACAAGGCTTTTCTTTTTTTATCATTGTTTCCATTCTGTCATTTGCAGCAATACCTCACGTGTGGTGTGATCACTGTTACTTATGCACATGGGACGAAGGGGCGCGTTTGTGTGTGAGCAGGGGGGCGCTTTAAAAAATGTTTTTTAATTGTATTATTTATTTTATTTAAAAAAATCTTAACACCATACCTTTTTTATCAGCTGTATTGTTATCACAAGGGATAAACAACATCCCTCCTGATAATATGATAGCTCAGTCTCTGTGCTGGAGTGCGCTAGCGGCATTGAAACCTCAGCCACCTATGGATGCCTATGTGCGACATGTAGACTTTAAAGCCCACCTTGTTTGCTGATGAACACATGCATTATGTGGGGCAGCAAGATGTTAAAAAGCCAATTTTAAATAAACTGATTGGCCCAGAATAAGAAAAACTTACCTCAGCTCTACACTCTGATGCTTTTGTGTGGCACAAGTGACATCAAGGGGCCTTACTCCTGCCTCCTGGGATAGCCTGGATTCGAAATCCTGCAAAAATGTATTCTAGCAATGGGCTGGACTGCATTCTCTTAGGATTTTGAGCTCCAAGTGTTGCAAAAAAGGCTTGGTGACAGGTTGATTGGAGGTTGGTGCCAAATTAAAGCGGAGTTCCACTCACTCTGTAGAAAAAAAAGTCAGCAGCTACAAAAACTGTAGCTGCTGACTTTTTAAAAACAGCCACTTACCTGTCCCACAATCCTGCGGTGTCTCCGCCACAGCTGGTTTCACCGGCCGTCCTGTATTCTAGGCGCCGGCATCTTCAGTGCGGGCACCCGGCTGTGACAGCTTGCGGCTTCACAGCCCGGTGCCCACTGCGCATGCGCAAGAAGCGCTGCACTTCCTGAATGGCCCCGTCGTCTTCTGGGACCTGTCACGTGTCCCACAAGCAGGGGCGGTCTGATCATTTGGAAACTCGGGCACTGCCCGAGGGCCCGGGGTCAGTAGGGGGCTCCATGAGATGCCCCTGGTAGCTTTTTCTTAGGCTTTTTTGAGTTTGGGCAAGGACACAGGGGCCCCATGATCCCCTATTGCCCGGGGGCCCCATGAGTTGTCAGTCCGCCCCTGCCCACAAGACTACAGGGAGGGAGGGTAGGAGGACAACTTTTGCTTCTGATCGCCTAGGCGATTGCAGCAAAAGTGGGAGTGGGTACATGTCAATTTTGGGTACCCCCCCCCCCCTTTCCCCAAAGGTGCCAATCCTTAATGGGGAGTGAGGGACCAATCTTTAAAGCAGAACTTCCCCTTTTGGGTGGAACTCCGCTTTAAGTCATTTTTTTTTCTCGGATGATCTGTTTGTTGACAAATTAATTTTAAGGGCCATTTACGTTAGGGTGGGAGATTGAAATAATATTAAGCAGAAGGTATGCTTTTATTTTCATTTTAATTTTTTTTTTTAAATTCATAAATCCCATCAAAGTAATACCCGCTAATCCTGCCATGGCCCTGTCACCGTGATGTTGTCCTGCATTGTCATCCTGTCACATGGAGACTATAGGCAGCCCTGCTGAAACTCAGGCTCCGCCGTTGACATCGGCAGTTAGGCTCTGAGTCATGCAGCTATTTCTAGAGCCATTGGATGTAAACAAAGTGCGGCTGTATAGAAGCTGCAAGAGATCGGCAGTATAGCGATGCAACAAAGGATGGAACAAAAATAATGGAAATGGAATTTTCTAATAGAAAAAAGGCAATTTTGTATGAGAGAAACAGTGCTTAAGCAAATGAAATGTCTTCCAGTTTATAATGCATTCAAGCCTGTGCTATCATGCTTGATGTAGTTTCTGGATTCACCCTTGTGTTGGGTAAATACATGCAGTTCTGTGCTTTTTAAAATATATTACTTTATGGTGTTTGTATTTGTGCTTAGACATGTGCTTATAACACACTGCTACTGCAGATCCACATTATAGCAGACTGGTAAATCTGAAGTTTAGTTATTTTTTTCTTCAGCTGCAGTCGCATAACTCACCTGTAATGAAGTATATCCCATGTACTGCAGGCTGATGTTTCCAATAGAAATCTTATCCCAAGTGATGCCTGGTCCTCTATGTGCATACTAGCATTTTATGCCATTACCTTGCAGGGGGATTTTTTTTTGAAAGTTTGCCACCACTTTTAAGGGTGCTGTGGCTGATAAAAGCTTGAGAAGCCCTACTCTAAGCACCTTGTGCACTCGTATTGATGGAGATAGAGGTGGCACTATGGCATGAAGACAATGAGTCTCTAAGGAGGACATAAACCATTTCCTCCCCAAGGGACTCTCCACTGTGTGGGTTAGCCATTAGGGGTTGATTACACACTGAAATCTTGGTTTCCTTTAAAGTTGAACTCCAACCCTTAGGTGTTTTATTACGCTAATGTTGCTGTCTTAGTTCCCAGTGGAGAGATTTGCCCTCACATCCTATTCCAGGGCCACCCAGAGCATTGCTGCAAAGTGAATTTCTGCTTTCCTTGTTCAGATCTTTCTTTGAAGAATCCACCAGAGGGTTGGTCTCTAGTGCATTCCCTTGCTAAAGATGGAAAGGAAATCAGAGAGACATAAAACATAAAACTAAAAGAAAGTTTTGGCTTGAGTTACACTTCAGGAAAGACTGTTGGCACGGAGGGTGATTTTTAAACTAACGGAAATTTCAGAATAATTTTTTAAGGGTTTTAGATGCTACAGATTGATCACAAAGCTTAAAGTGCTTGAAGCCTTTGATTTGGCTCTTTTCTGCCCAGTAAAAGGTTGTTTATTGTTTGTGATGCTGCCAACTCTGAAAACGTTAGGAGGAACACTTACAACAAACTTCTGAGCCAAACAGGACATGGAAAGCTGCAAGCTAGAAGCCTCAATGTACGATAATAAGTACCTCCATTTTTTGAAAGAGCTTGTTATCGTCCTTTTGAAAGACCTTCATGGCTCAATCCCTATTTTATTGTTGTAAGCAATTATAAGCCTCGTTTGCATGGATTGGACCATGCAAGGCCCCATAAAAAGTGTTTTTTTGGACTTATTTATTAATATTGCATGCAGGCAAATAGATTTACAGTATATTAAAGAGACTCTATCACCTTCTCTATTCAAGTGACCAAGTCTTATTAAAGTAACACCAAACAATAGCCTTATTCTCCCTAAATAATCCATACACATCCACTGCTTCATGGCCATCCAATCTACGTTTCATGAAGTTTATTACTGTGTAATCCCATAGTCCCTAGTCCATCTCACTAGTGAGAAAAAGGAGGTGGCTATGTTCCTACATACAGTGGGACCATGGACAATGAACATAGCCACCCTCCAACTGGAAGTCAGTTCACAGCAGCAAAGCAGGGGATTTGGAGGAGGTTGAGAGCAATGGAAGGTACTTCTTTGAGTTTATATGTATTGGGCCGTGTTACACTGCTTACTAGTGGTGGACACTCTCCCATCAAGGCCTATAAGGCTTCTGTGTTACCTGTCCCGAAAAAACAGTTTGCTGCATGCATTGGCAAGAAGCAAGGTGCTGCGATGTTTTCAGGAAGCCTGTATTGCATAGAGAAGCGCAGAGACTCAGCGATGACTACACTGGGTCTAAAAGTAAGGTGAGAAATTAAAATGGAAATGGTTTATTTACAATTTGTATTATCATGTTGACAAAAAGAGGAAAAAAGGAAATAAGGAAGGCAAAATATAGGCAGACTTTGGCTTTAAAATATTACTTTCAGGTGGATTGATCTTTTATTAGATGATGTGCTGGTAAGCGCATATTATGTACATGATGAACACAGGTTGTAATATGCAGTCAGGGCCTCTCATCATACTGTTTCAGCCGCCTCCTCCACATTTATAGAATGCTTTTACACACCTGATCCGTTATTTTGCAGATTGAACAACCTACCGTAATGCTGATGAATGTCGATATTTTGAAATGAATTACATATATTGCCTGGCATACAATACAGCAGATGCTGCTACATTTTTCTTCAGTGTCTGACAGCAGGTTTAGTGCCATTGTTCCTTTATGCAATCTACAAAAAATTTTGCTAACTGCGCCATCATCTCTATCTCCCCAATGAATAGTTATCTTCTGCTCATCTGTCATGTTCTTTTCTACTCCTCACATACTTTAAATCTTTCCATGCCTTCTTTCTTCCACAAGAAATGGGTTTGATTTTTATATTGTCTGTGAAATAAAGTGTATGTAAAAAGCAAAACTTTTTTTTTAGTTTTGAATAGAGTGGAGGAGAGTTAGACCCCCTGTTTAATTTTTTTTTTTTTATGTCTACGTACCTACTGGTTTTAGAGTTGTCACCAGAGAAAGAGGTGAGGGAAATCACCCAATGGAGGCAAATCCTCTAGTATAGGATAGGAATTCTCTTCACTTTGGGGAGATTTCCTATTATTTCTTATTGCATCTGTGGGATGGGAAGTGAAAGAAATCTCCCCAGTAGGACATAAACAGCAAAATATTATCCTGATAATAAACAGCTTTGGCTATAGATATATTTAAATCAGTACAGATAACTTTAAAGGGTCCAAAACTGATGTTGTGATTAAAGATATAGATACTGGTGAACCTATTATCTGGTTGGCTCCTCATATCTTTCAGGCATGATAGAGATGAGAGAGCTCTGTGTGGGAGGTCCTACTTCCCTCTACATTCAAGGGGTCTTAAGCCGACCATAGATGGTTCAAATCTCAGCCGGTTCAGCAGGGACCGGCCGAGATTCGAATCATCATGGGCAGGCTAATTATACCCAATCTGGTTTTTGTACAACTTGGGTACATTCAGCCTTGTACATGCAATTATTGCCAGCAGCTATAGCCGCTAGCAATAATCATTGTGTTTTCCTGGCAGGGACAGCTCCCCCCCCGTGCAGTAACCGCGCAGTAGAACACACAATAGCTCTGTGGGAGGGATTCCCCCACCAACATTGGCTGTGTTGATGAGGGAATTGAGTGATTTTATTTCCTGTAACCTGTGGGTGCAGGAAAGAAAAATGTGTCATCTATGGCCTGCCTTACACCTCTTTTTTGTTCTCTTTCAACACTTCTGATCTTTTTCTGATAACTAGTGATGAGCAATTCACAAGTCTTTGGAAAATCGGTCCACCGTATGGGTGATCTGTTGAAGGGTTCCTTTTGGGCCTCTAACTGGTTTGTGGTAAATTTGGACTAAGATAAACAGTATACAGGTATACTTTATTTGATCCTATCACAATAACAAAGAAAGGTACTTTGTCATTAGGTCAGTTGTGGTTTATTTCTCCCAGTAAAAATTCAAGAATGTGAAGAGAGCCCCGAATTGAGGTAAGTTGTTTCATCTTCATTTTTAAATGTCCTACACAACTTTGTCCTTTGATGTGTTACACCTGAGGATCCAACACTTGCTTTTTGTATCCTCGGATCAAGACCAGACCCAGAAGAAGATTACTGAATCCCAATCCCAATCTAGCGCCACCGTGTACACATTTTGAGGTTTCCCATACACAGACATCAGTTCCTGCTCATTCTGCTGACCAGACAGATAGGCCCCTTTGCTTTGTTATGGAATGCAGGCTTACTACTTACCATACTACTTACCATACAAATGAAGAAATAGAGACCGTGCTTTGGAATACCATCCCAAAATCAATTTTATTAAGCTAAGAATGCATACAAGATGCACCTGGGTTTTGAGGTGTTCCACCCACTAAGAGCTTAATTTTACATTTTAAAAACTAAGCTTAGGCAGCTACTACTAGACCCCTCCTCTCCAGTGCTGAAACTCCATTTCACCATTACATGTCCTCTCCTCTGGTTCCAGGTTGAATTGTGTTGCACACTGGGAAGACTGGCGACATGCTATGAGTGCAGGATGTCATGGATCCACCACTTTTATAGTATACTGATGCAGAGAATGGTGCTAACATCATGTCAGTGCCACTCTCTACACCATGAACAGCTGCCCACCACTGGGAAAGAGGACCATCTTCTTGTGATTTACCTAAAGACATTCAGAAAAGTTATATGCTTTCAGTAAGTGAATTGCATCAGAGCAAACAACCCAGGTGTGTTGGGTATTGACTGTTAGTTCAATAAAGTTGGTTGCAATAAGGGAATCTGGAGTGCATCC